ACACAAGGTGTGTTACTGTACTTTTTAAACCATTTTTGCCACGATTTCGATTTCCACACTATGTATCATGCAAATTTCTTTTGTGATGTATCAATAGTCCTCGAACATCCGTCAATAGTTACTGTTGTTCAAAGTTCATCTTATTTGCAATTATTCTACAAAATTTAATAATAAACATAAAGTCGAATTAGTTAGTTTTACTCGGATTAATACTCGTCGTTACAAGTAGTTTTCTATATTGTTATACAATTTCACGTGTTTTGGACTTTTAGATAACTATGCCTTTTAATTGACAATAGTTCATTGGTACTTATTAGAATGGATTCATTATTCAGTTGAATTGTAGTTCTTTTTATGTATTGTGTGTGCATGAAAATTAATTTGTATGAAATCTAATGGGAATATTAGTTGCCTAAAAGCTCGAAAAGAATATATCCATACAGCGCACATGGACGTGGTGATTAAGGATTACCTGGTAGTAGTAAAAAATTATAATTCAATTGTTAATTAATAAAATACGTCTGCTATACTCTTGTTTACTGAATTATTTATTTATTATTATTTTTTTTTATTGGACAAATGTCGCTTAATTGTGCCAGAAAATGAAGATTACCCTTTGTCTTTCTTACTCTTTTACAACCACTTTTCCATTTTATTAAATACTTTAGAGCATTTGAGTTTCGAAGATATTGCCATCGACGATAAAAATGGTATTACATTTTTATCCGGTGATAATCGTGAATGGTTTTCTACTTTTATGCTTCCTTCATCAAGAAAGATGGGTGAAATACTTAAATTTAATTTTTCATCAGAACAGTTTGAAACAATTCCATTAATCAATTATAAATATCATCATTTTCATCCACTTGGAATTTCTCATGTTGTTTTCGACCAACAGAAAGCAGAAAGAGTTAAGATTAAATGTTTTCTTATTTTTTTATATTCGGATTTTTTTTCCGATTATTTATTATTAATCATCGAGTGGCTGATGATAATGATGATAAAATATTAGAAGCTGTAGATATTTTTGATGTAGTGACTGATGCTGCAAAACCAACAATAATATTCAATTAAAACTAATAGATTCTGTAACGAATGAATTATTTACTGGTGGTAATTCTATAATTCATTTATTAACGATATTTATCTATCTATTTTATTTTTATTTTTAGTCATTGATGATGTGGTGGCTGCAGATGAACAATCATTCTATGTTACAACGGTGTTACATTACAGACCAGATCAATCACTATTACTTTGTCAGTTTGAAATTTTAACTCAGCGTTCATGGACAAATGTTATATTTTGTTCAAAAAAAATATCAAATAATTGGAAATGCAATGTGGTATGTTTTTCTTATTATTTCATAAATACAATCTTATATTTTCAAATTATAGGTTGTTGATCAAATCAAAACGGCAAATGGAATATTCTCTTCGAATGATATGAAAACAATCTATGTTGCTGCTAGTATTGAAAAAAAAGTAATTCTAATGATTATTTTTTTAAATTTTGAAAAAATATAAATAAATTTGATAGATTCGTGTGTATAATCGTCATCCTGATAATAATTCATTGATATTATCTCAGTCTCTTTCATTACCTGGTATACCTGATAATGTCGTTGTTAATGCTGATGGACAATTATTGGTTGGATCACATCCAAAAATGTTTTCGTTTATGCTTCATTCTATATTTCCTTCAAAATATCATTCACCAGCACAGGTTTTACTATTAAAAAAGCCAACACGTTAGTTATTATGTATGTTTAAATTAAATCAATAAACTATTTCTCATTTGTTTGCAGATACAACATTTGAAGAAATATTAATAACAAACGGTGAACAATTATCAGCAGCAACTACAGCTGTCTCATACAAAAACAAACTTATTGTTGGTGCTTATTTATCTCCTGGAATACTTGTATGCGAACATTTACTGTAAATTCATTTTTATTCTTCCAAAGAGGAGATGAAGATACATCGAATCATATATTAAGATTTTTCCACTATGATTTTCGAAGCTTTTTTTTTAATTTTCTAACCGTCTGAAAAATGCATTTTTAATGAAAAAAAGCAAAAAGCAAAAATTTGCTAGAAAATCGTATTAGAGGTTCGACTAGAACACATATTATCCCTAAATAATTAAATTCAAACACCTCAGTCTTTCACAGTTTGCAGATCTTTGAGCAGCGGTTGGAATGTGAACCTGATTATTGAAAATTCACTGTCAACAACCCACGAGAAAGATTTGTTCTTTAAAAGGTCAACTGAAAACCTTACAAAAAACAGATTAAAAAGTCTGTAATATACGGTTCGATGCGTCGTCTTCCCGCAGCTCTCTACCACGTTTCTATCAAAACTTATTCAAAAAATATCAGCATTCATATAACCATGACATATCGTAAGAAACAGCTCTTTTTTTTTTCTTTTGAAAATTTTATAGTTATGATATTAGTTGAATAGTGATGAAATAGTATAGAAAAATAGAGCATCGTTTTGTCTGTAATTGCATAAAAAAAGAAAATTTCTTTAAGCTTTCTATAAGGAAATAAAGTGATGGCATCATTACTTTTGGTATGCCCTAAGTACTATTACAATTAACGAGTGACGCAGAATGAATGGCGGTCTCAGTATTTTCTATTCTTCTCTCGTTTCTTTAGGACCCTAAGATTAGTGTTTTTTAAAAGATGCGCCGCGGAATACTGTACAAAACCTACTTAAACTTTAATTCCAGAACTTCAATCAAGAAAACTACGCAAATCATGCGAAAGACGAAAAAATGAAACCTTGCTAAATTTGGTATTTTTTCGGTTTGAACTTTTTTCTTCTGCTATTATTTCCGTAAAAAAGTGTTGCAAAAGTGAGAGCTCAGTTCTTTTTGTACTTTTAAATTGCTCTTCCTCGTAGTCTCGAAAACAATTTTTTAGAGCGGATGGTATGCTGGAGAACGAAGTTTTAAAAATACGTCAAAAAAACTGACAAGAAAAATCATTCCTGATCGAAACAAAACAAATCCTATCGAAAAAGCTTTTGGTTTGATGGAGTTATGGGAGTTTTACTGAAAGCACCACTATAGCCCGAATTTAAAAAATTAATGAAAAAATGCGTGACAACAGATAAAAAAGTCATTATTTCCCTATGGATTTTGATCTGACAAAATGTGAAGTATAGCTAAAAGATAGAGCGAAGTCAGGACTACATAATGGCTAATTCAGGTTTTCTTACTTTCAAACGTTAACACAAGAAATCGTTTTGGATTTTAGAAAGTTCTTCAAGTCATCTTTTAAAAAAACAGTAATCTCAGGGTCCTATGGAAACGTGACAAAAATAGAAAATACTGACGAGGGAACCCCACGAAGTGATTAAACGCTTTTTGCTCGGAATCTAGTGGGTTATAGGTTATCGACCATGCTGATTACGAATACGACCATGCGGCTTCCGCACAGCCCTTCGAATAGTTCACGGATGTCCGTCAGCGAACGGAACGAGTTTCCTGAATCGGTCGAAGTCAGCTCTTGAAAGAACATCAGATATAACATCTGTAATTCCTGGTATGTGTTTTGCTTGTAAATAGACGTTGT